CACACACACACACACACACACACACACACACACACACACACTGACTGCAGGGGTTTCCTACAGGAACAAAAAAATGCATGAGTCAACTACAACATGAACATGGAGGCAAATCAAAAGACAGCTTACTGACAGTCAGAGTGCACAAATATACAAAAAATATGCTTCCTTTACTGAGCCACCCACAGTGCAGACACACAAACACACTCAGTCATGTATTTAAACATGACTCATAAACTGATAAACTGCTTGTTACAACAAAGGATTTAGTCATGAATTTAAGCTCTTACAGAGTACACATGCAGGCTTTTAAATATGAGTAAGAAAAGATACAAATTTTAAAATGCTTTTTGTAAGTAGGAAACACTAAAGTCACCTTATTTGTGTGTAAATTGTATGTCCTTTGATTTAAGTCCTTCCATCCATTATCCTTACCCACTTCTTCCTTTCAGGGTTATGGGAGTTCAGTGGTACCCATATCCAGCAGTCACTGTGCAGGGTACACCCTGAACAGGTTGCAAGTCCTTCACAGGGCCAAATAGAGACAAGCAACCAATCATTCTTTCACCCAGGGACAATTTAAAGTTACCACTTAGCCTAACATTCATGATTTTGATCTCTGGGAGGGAACAAGAGCACCTGGAGAAAACCCACGCATGCACAGGGAGAACCTGCAAACCCAGAAAGGTGCCCGACCAAGATTTGATCCGGCGACCTTGATGCTGAGAGGCAGCAGCACTACCTACTGAGCCACCGTGCATCTTTAATTTAAGTCATAACAGTAAAAATATTGGTTAGATATTAAAATAGACTATTTTTATGCTATAATATACATTAATTTACAAAGGATGTGTAAAAGTTCTGTTTGAGTGATGAAAACTACAATACCTATAAGAATAGTTCAATTTTTTTTGGTGTGAAATATTTTACAGAACATTCAAATAAAATCGAAACACTATCKGCTGATTTGCTTGTGGTCTGATGTTTTTTTGAGTGGTGTGTGTTTAATCTGACCTATGTGTGTGCTGTTTGTCGTRTTAGGTAAGAGCACGGCCAGATGTGCAGGAGCTGCGTCGATGGCAGAGGGAGCTGAGGGAGAACCCTGACATTGCCAGATCTATTGCACGATTCTGGGCACAACAAGAACGACGAGGTGAGATACACACACACACACACACACACAAAAAAAACTAACCATTACTAGTTTATACCTAATGATAATTCAACCAAAACTTAATTTACACCATACATCTAAACCTAGCTAGTAAAGCGCAGAGCTGCAAAAAAGTAAGGGCCAAGAAAAGGTCCTCAGTTTACACCAGAGACCTCACTTTGATAGTAACTATTTTGCAAGTGGTRCTCACTTTGTAGCAGAAACAATTACACACACAGGCACACACACTCAGATTAACACGTGTTGTCACTGACACACGGTTTACAGGTAATATAATTTCACTGATATTTTCTGCAGCCAATAAATAGCTACTTTTATAGGTCGTATTTATGCTTTCATAAGAAATGGCATAAATTTCAGCCCATTCATATTAAAGCAAAGACATGCTTATATAATACTGTGTCAGTAGGTGCACAGTACAGCTTCACACACCTTAAACTGCTGCAGAGATACAGTATTCATCCTAACACTGCTTTGATGTTAAAGCTGAGAGAGGAGGATTCTGGCTGCAGCATCACATGGGGAGAATGAGGACGAGTTGCAGAGATAAAGACAGACTCTGAATTAAACAAAAAAAAGGTATCTCTGCAGGGCTCGGGCTGTGTTTGTGTGATGGAGGTGGCAGCGGGAGGGGGGCGGAGGGGTACATGAGTAGAAAGAGAGGCGTTCCAGAGTGAAGAAGCAGAGAAACATAAGATGATGTGTGTGTCTGGGAGCACTGTCTGCACATATGAAGGATGGAGCGCAGCAGCTGAGAATGCACAGCCGTGTCCAATGTGACTGCCTGGCATCAAGGGCTCAAAGATAGCGGCTAAACTTTGCCCTGGGGAATGCACACAAGCACAAATTGGTCCGAGTGATTCCAAATTAGCTCCTACTAAAATAAAAGTCACCAAATAAAACTTGTAGGAAAACAGAAGTAGATTCAATTTTTTTTAAATTAGTGTAAAAGAAGCAGAAGTTTTAGCTCCAGACTCTGGTCTCTTGGTTGAATGACTCACAGTATTCCTCAAAACTCAAACTTCAAAATTTGTGTCCCAGCACCCAAAACTAAAACACAGCAAGAGGTATTTTTTAAACTTGCATGGGAGTGAGAACTGAGTTCCAACTACCGAAAAGACAAAAGTCAAAGTGGACAAAGAACTTTTTTGTTGTGGATTGTAACCAGATGGTAAAAATAATGAAGTGGCTTTGGAGGGCATTGTTACTCGCGGGCTTGTTGGGTGTGTAGTCACAAGCAGTGCCTCTAAACAAATTATAAAAGCACGATTGTTCATATTTTTTACGGAGAGCTCGACTGTGCTTGTTCATCTTGTTTAAGCCAACCTTTTAACCAATATGACTTCACATGACATCATWGGGTCGGACACATGTGCAGTTGTTGAAGGATTGCACGCAGGCTTTTCTCTGGATCCCTCACTATGCTTAAATTCTTTTAAATTACTCTTTTGTAGCAAAGTACACTAACAAAGAGTTAGGCACTTACGGTATTATTTCACCCACTGCACATTATTATAACACATATAAAACATGCCTTTCAGTTGCCAAGTGACCAGATGAACCAAAATAACAATAAAGTTATGAAATACAAAGATTTAGCTACACAGTATTATTGTGGCTTTCTACTCTCCCACATAATGTGTCACCACTAACACATATGATCATATTTGTGTCTCTCACAGAGAAGGACAAACACCACCATAAACACGGGTTGTCCCCACACTAACACATTCCACGCAACAAAAGCGCTCACTGCAGCCATGGCAGGCCTACAAATATTCTTCTGCTGTGGCGCTACAGCCTCGCTGCACTGACCTGACATAATAGCAGGYGGCCTAGGGGGCTGTGTGTGTGTGGAACACACTGCATTAGTGTACAAGAGAGTCTGCCCAGTCTGCCATCCATAATGAATTATTTTTTACCTCTTTGATTCGAATCTAAASTGGATATAAAAGAAAGTAAAACTGAACAGTAGGTAGGAGAAGGGAAGGAAGAGAGAAACTGAAGTGGTAGTTTGTTTTTCTGTTTTTGTCTGTTGTTGTTTGGAGTTTTAATCAAACAAGCACACAGAGAGAGATGAGCCATGTTTAGCACAAGGACAGCAGTAGAGAGAGAGAGAGCAAAATTATTTAGGGAAGCCCTCCCAACCACCCATCTTTCTGTAAACAACCTATTTAAGTTGATCCAGCAACAGCTGCACCCGTCCAGTCCTGAGGAGACCAGCCTGCAGTGCCTCTTCTGCTATTTCATAGGCTGAAATCAGAATGATTCAGATATGGAGAAGAAAAGAGCAGGGCAAAGAACAGATACACACTGAAATGTGAAAAAGTCAAAAGGTGACAGGTCACTGAACAGGTGCTGCTGTCAGCAGTTCATGAATCATCAAATGTTTACTGTCAGTTAAAATGTGAAGTAGTTTTTCAGCATGTTGTTCTTTTAGGTAGTCAGTCCTAAAAGTAACTTATTTAGCAAGTTTTGTTCATTATATAATTGTTTAAATGGGGATGGGGTATATATTAAAATCAAATTATTGAGCTTTATATCATGATATAATATCCTTCCCTCATCAAAAACATACACAGAGTGTTGCTTTGACTCAATAATACATGTTTGAGAAACCCTTGTATCTCCTGTGGTAGCCATGCAAAGGTACCTAAACGCTTGCTGGTACAAAGCACCGCCTATTTGTACAAAGCTCCTCCCTGGAGCTCAGTCTGCAGCCGAGCTCACACCCCACACAGCACCCCTCCCCTGAAGCATTGTTGTGAAGATGTGCTGAAGTGGGAGTGTCACAAACAGTAGGAGGTTCTTAAAGAGACAGAGGCCAATTTCAAGGTGTTTGGAGAGATTATGATGCAAAATAATACACACACACACACACACACACACACACACACACACACACACACACTATAATCCACTGTTAAACTCCTTAGTCACGGTTATCAGCTCATTCAGCCTGTAGATAAATAA